CTTTTCTTTCCTTGTTCGACTTCTTCGATTGCGTTAGAAAAGAAATTAAGTGAAAAATGCTGTTGAAAAGCAAAAAATATACGTACGATAGGAAGGGTCGAAAAATAACCAGGAAATTTTGAGAAAGAAAGTGGGTTAAGGAAATATAATACGTAGATTATATCTAGAGCATCTAAGAAGTCGAACAAGGAAAGAAAAAAAGTGTCTATCTTCAACAGATAATGAGTTAATAGATTTTCAATGAGCTTCACTCTACTAATCGATATGTTAACAGAAATGAATTTCTTTAATTATAAAGATATGCACTGAGCGATCAAAAACTAGCGTTCGAATGTCAGTTTTTAATGCTGAATCTGGAGAAATAACTTCCAAAGCTATAGTCATTTTTTTGAAATCCCTAGCGTCAAAATCCTAGTAGAGAACCTGGTTTTTGAAACCCTCGGTGTCTGCAGTCTTTTTCGATTTCCGATAGGAAGATTACTTTTCATCTAAATAAATCATACATATTCTGATTCCATTAAAAAATCCACAAAAAAAATGTGCTCTACTTTTGCGTTACGTTAACCTTACATTGGATGAAAGTTTACGAAATTTTATTACGGAACTGTACAATATAATTTTTTCAGTAAAAATATGTACTGATTGTGATCAGTGTATTGACTTTATTACAAATAAAAAATGGACATGTTTCTCTGATCATATCAAAAATATTTGGTCAAGAACTTTTACATCTTATCGATGATTTAATACAATTGCATTCGATTTATAGTTTCGCTCATGAAAATTGTATTGGTCAAGAGAAAATGAAAGAGCGTATAAAAGTCCGAGGAATATTTACTCAATCCGAAGCAATTTGTAAGACATTGAAAATTATAATGTTTCCATTCAATGCTAACCTAATTCCATTAAGTATTGTGGCAATAACTTCGACTACAAATCTTGGTGAGCTTGATCCTTCATTTATGCATTCACAATTACTCAAAGAAATTCTACTTGATATCTCACATGGTGACGAAACAAAACAAGCTTTCGTCGATTTCTGTCGCATTCAATACTGTGGCGACAGTAAACAAGAAGAAGCTATCGATCTGTTTGAAGAATATTATTCTCATCCAATACCTATTCACTGATATACGTGAGATGATTTCTTTTATGCAATATTGAATTGCCGCCATGGCTGAGTGATTACGTTGTTCGAGACGTAATCTCAAGGTACTGTGTTCGAACCTCAGTAACATCAGCCATGGAATGGCCCTGGACAAGTCACTAACGGCTAGTTGTCTAAATGACTCATTCACACGAGTCATCCATACTGACTACACGCTTAGGCAGTACGTTGGACGAAAGTGGGTGCAGATACTGCCGTTCGTAGAAAGAAAAGACGATAGAACCCTGCTGCATGTGAAAAAAAACATATGATAATGACCGCGGTTGGCCCCGACGGGCGAAAAGCCCATGGGACGTTATTATTATTATTATTATATTGAATTACGCACTGAGAACACAAGAAGCAGAGGTAATACTCAAAATAAGCTTTTCCTTCGTGATGTACATGAACAACTGGAGCAGCTTTATTACAAAGAAGATCATTCGAAACCTTGAAAGGTTTATCGAGGGCAAAGTATTACAACTACTGAATTTGAAAAGATTCAAAAAAATTAGCGTGGCCTCATTTCATTTGAGCACTTTCTTTTTACAAGTAAACAACATCATGCAGGAGAGTTTTATGCTAATAGTAATCGAGAAAATCCCAGTCTAATCGTATTTTGTTTGAAATTAACATTGATCCATCGGTATCAAGAGCACCATTTGCATCAATCGATAGTACTAGCGTTTTTGAGGGAGCAGAAGATGAAGTCTTATTTCCTTTTCAGAAAGGAAGCGTTGTAGCGTCATAGATACAGTCATTAAAATGCAAAAAGTTCGTTTGTTTGTTTGTTTGCATTATCCAATCAGATTGCGGCATTTTATAAATCGATTAAAAATTTAACTCCGGTCATTAACCCTTTGGGGACGGGGTATTTTTTCAAAAACTAAGCGTCTTATTAGAATGTAGATATATGTTTATTCAATAAAAATTATCATCAAAAGTGTTTTAGAGTGTGATAAGCTTGAAAACAGTCAGATATGCATAACCCAACATCACATGCTTCACATTGATATCTTGTATATTTGGTTGTTTTTTCCCGTTGTACTGTATGAGAGCATACATAACATCTCCTTTGAGCAGCTACTTTTGAGGCAGTTGATACTACAAGCGATGGAAAATGTCTANAGATATGCATAACCCAACATCACATGCTTCACATTGATATCTTGTATATTTGGTTGTTTTTTCCCGTTGTACTGTATGAGAGCATACATAACATCTCCTTTGAGCAGCTACTTTTGAAGCAGTTGGTATTACGTCCGCTGCAACTTCCGAATTATCTTTATCGGATGAAATGGTTGTTTTCGACATACTCGTCAGAGTTCACAAGAACTATGAAACAAGTTCTAGTTATCCGTATGAAAGTTGAGAAAATACTTATCTTCAAGTGATAATAATAAAAGAAAAACGGAAGGAAAGAAAAGAAGAGAAAAAAGTCAGGATATATGAGAAAACAAAGCCGTTGTATATACGTATATATGTATACACATATAAAAAAGATAAGAAAAATATTGACTTAGACGTATTAGAGAAATTTGAATAGATGGTACATGAGAAATTAAAGAAATAATTTATTGTGTAGCATGATAAGCTATTAGATACACTGCATATATTTCTGTACTTCACAGATACTGTTAATTTACAGTATTAACATAATAAACGTACTTAACAGACTATTCCTACTCATTGTTGATTGATTCGAAACGTATACCTTCTTCAAATGCTGAGAAACACCTCATGTGGTATATATACCACACCCGTCCCCAAAGGGTTAAGGCCCAATGTCTAGAACAAAACAAAATAGCAGACTGACGTTCACTTGTTGGATCTCCGTATTCATCAGCATATCAATGACATGACAATTATATAAACAGCTATATTACACAAGCATTAGATGATGCCAGCCACTCAAAATAATGCTTCCTTTGCCAAGTGCTGTTTTCGAGAGTTACAGTAACACAAAGGTGGCGATTTTTTAACAACGGATACAAGAAAATGGATTATTTTGTGTGGAAAGTGATTCTAAACTAGATGTAAGAGTGAAAACGTACACATGATAGCCAACCGTGAGTGGCCGACCAGAGGGAGACCTATGAACGAATAGACGTCGATTGGAAGAGTAATATTTTAACGAACAGGTTTTCATGATTTTCGTATAGTTTTAAGATTTCTTGGATTGTACTTAGACGTCGATCCGCAAGAACATATCCGACGGCTTTTTGTGGTTCGTCGTGGTGAAGAGAAAAACGAAACCTTTTTTTGTAGAGAATCGTATGCGTATGTAAAGTTCCTAAATTTTCGATTGTGCATTGATTTTCCAAAAACAGCACGCATGGTAACAGCTAGCTGTTAGTGGCCAACCGACTAGGCGTTTATTTGAGCTGCTTCGAAGAGACAAGATAAGTGGAAGCACATTGCTTTTTGATTTTGAATAGTCGGAAGAAAATCGATGGCTAAATGTTTAGAAACGGTGTTCGTTTTGCTTACATCTTTGGCCAAATGAATTGAAAGTAATTTGACATGAATAAAGTAGAAAAGGATTAAAAGGAAATAATGACCATAAGAGTGACTTCATTTCGGAGTCAATTAAAATGAGATCTATATGAGAGTTTTTCTTTTTTATCTACTACATTTCTGATTCTTTCAGAAAATGGTCAGCGAATTCAACGGATGAGCGCTACTTGTTTTCTACTCATGCTACTTTTCGTATTGAGAAAGTTTAATTAATCAAAGATCGATTATGGCAAGCTAGTCTTACTTTAAAAGATGATAAAAATAAACAACAACTAACTGGGAATATATGATGCAAAAAAGAAGGAATTACAATTATTCGAGAGAGATATAGAGAGTTCCGAGAACTTATTGATTACCCTATGTATAATAACTAGATATGTTCTTAAACTGAAAAAGAAATACACTTATTCTGGTATCATTGCAAATCTTTGTCACAAGAACATGTCTTTAGCATACAAGTATATTACAAGAAAGGAAAAAAGTAAAACGTACAATATATAACTCAGTCACTCATTTATTAATCTAAGTGGATGTACGTACTTCTAATCGATTAAAAATATTTTTCTGAATGGTTTCGAACTATCCAATCATCAGAATAGATGATTTATCATTGCAGGTACAGAGCTAAGATATAGCTCTTTTCTCCCTCTTATTTCAGTTTTTTGAAATAATGAGGTTGAAATATCGCTTTGAAAGCTTGTAAAACCATGGAGGAGACTAATTTTCATATTAAATTTTCCTTATCAGCTTATTACTTCCGCTAATAACAGTTTATCTGGTATTCCTTCGTTTACTTCTGACTGTTAGATTGAATTTTTTCCTTATATCATCGGTATAGAGCTGTTCGTATTATTATAACAACAATTATGCAAGATTCGACTGAAGACGAAAGTCATAGCCAATATTTTTTATATTCAGGATGCATCAGTTGTTGTTGGCTAATCCGTAGTGAGAAGAGATATATCCGATTCAGATGAATATTCTACTCGATCAAAACTGAAACGATGTTAGCTTTGTGAACGTTCTATGGACAAGAAAACGTCAACTAAATGTTCTAATTGTTCTGAGTTTGTTTGTAAAAGAGCATTCTGTTACACGTATTTTTTATATTATTTTTTCTAAATAAAGAATATCATTTTGGTGAAGTTTTTCTATTAGATTGAATATGAAAACAACATATTTTATCAGTAAACTAATCCAAAAGCAAAAGTAACTACTATATGGAAATATATCTTGTCGAAATAGGTCTTTAAAAGGCCGGTAGTACTAGGGTTAAACAAACAGATTTGGATTGGTCAATAACCAACCGCCATCAACAATATAAGTTTGTCCCGTACAATATGAAGCATCATCCGAGCAAAGAAAAGCAACCATAGAAGCGATTTCATTTGGGTGACCAATGCGTCTCATTGGGATTTGTTTTTCGACTTTAGATTTTCTTTCTGCATCACGAGTTGCCCATGACGTCATTGGAGTATCAATAAGACCAGGACATATAGCACATACCCGAATTCCTTGTGGTCCTAATTCTAATGCCATTGTTTTTGTCAAACTTTCTATAGCAAGTTTTGATGCACAATCTAATATATAAAACAAAATGAATTCTTTAAACTATTTAATAGTTTTTGGAATAACTTACAAGCAGCTGAACCTTCACAAACAAGAAATTGTCTTACACTTGTTATATTAATAATAATTCCATGATTCTGNATGGTCTATGTTTTTAAAAAAGTTCAACTATATACGTCATAATTTGAGCAAGATATTGAAAAAATACGTAGAGGCTCATTTAACCTGGGACACCCGTTATATATAGGAAAAGGCTGTCATCCCGCCAGGGAATTGAAACAAGTTGAAGATTAAATTTTGAACTCATATTCTGCGTACATTGAGGTCTTACTGTGAATACTTCGTTGTGAAAGTTTTTGGCTTTTTAGTCGCATTAAACCTGAAATTCACGATGGTGACTTGTAAGAATATTTACAATGACCGAAAACGGCTATGCATAATGTTTATGTTAGCGATAACAGATAGTACATTGTTATCGCTACTCTTTTTCTTTTTTCTCCTTGTTCAGATCTATATATCCTATGTGCGATTCGATGCCATAATATATATTTATCTTTTCTCTTTCTCTCTTGTTTTCTCTCTATGTTGCCTGTCTGATCGCTCTCCGAACTTGTAAGATCAGACAGACGCCAGTTGTCTTTGAACTGTGATCGACACCGGTCGTTTCTTGTTTTTTCCTCTCGTCGTTTATCAATAAACGTTATCACGAAGATCTCGACTCACCTCATTCATTTCTTCAACACCGAAGTAGGACAACCACACGCACTAACCTAACCGGACCAATACAAATCCTACTTTTCTGTTACTTTCCGTCCCGCCTATTAACGCCTAGTGGGCAGGAGTCTTCGGTCGGTAAGGAAAAGCTAACAGATTAGCTCATCGTTTCTCTCCGGTATGTCCGATTGAGCTGAAATTTTTCATTTATTCCTAGCATATCATGACCTAACTACCATGAAAATATCAGACAAACCGGAGATGGCCATTGCACAAGGTCAGGTGTGGCGCACGTGCAGTGCTTCCTATATTTCTACTGTATGACAGATCATATTATTTAGTATAACATAGAACATACGAACAGACTATATCCTCAAAGCAAAACTTTCTTCGTGCTAATATCTTTATATTTGTCAATAATCATCTCGAGATAAACCAATTACAAAGAGGAATTGTCATCTTACTAACCATCCAAGCAAACGAAAAATTCATCATAGAAAATCATCGGTGTAATGAAAAGTGAGAGACTGTCAACACCTTTCGGCACGATAGTATCTTCTGTCATCTGTACACACAACTGTCTCTGTTCCTTTATTAAACGCACTTTATACAGAAACTGTCGCAATATTAGAACAAACAGAAGCCATCGGTATTCAGCAAAGCTCTCATATAGATGAAATATTTGTACTAGTAGTCGTCACAATACCATACCATCAATTCATATCTTTCAACCGATCATCTCAAATCCAAACCTACCTTACAATATTTCCCATTTTATACATTTTTAAACTTATATTTATTTAAATTTCAATGCATGATGATGAAACCAAATGGTGATTCGGAAGGTCTCGTAATTACGAATATAGTTCTCATACTTCAATGGAAATGTCAAAGAGTTCTTCACTGTAGATGTGAATTATGAACTGCTTACCGAATCAAAAGACGATAAGCATGTTAGTTAAAACGTCAAAGAGTTCTTCACTGTAGATGTGAATTATGAACTCCTTAACGAATCAAAGGACGATAAGCATGTTAGTTAAAACGTCAAAGAGTTCTTCACTGTAGATGTGAATTATGAACTCCTTAACGAATCAAAGGATGATAAGCATGTTAGTTAAAACGTCAAAGAGTTCTTCACTGTAGACGTGAATTGTGAACTCTTCAACAAGTGAACAATTATACAGATGACCTACATCTCACTGCCATTCCGGTCAATCGAAATGTATTTTGATATAACTGTTCTGTATATTCATTTAGTATAATACAGTAAAACCTCTATAAGTGGGCACCTCCTGACAGTAATCACCAACCTAATTTGGACGCTCGAAAGTCCGTCCTATCTTTGACGATTTCTGATGGAAGAGATGTGTATCCCGATGGAATCATGTCTTTCTTTATTTCTTCCTATCATCAATCGCCTCGTTCTAATACAGAACACACGTTTATATACCCCTCTCTCGGTAGAAAGGAAGGAAAGAAGGATAATGTCAAAGTACATAAAAATACACTGAAGTAGGGACAAATAGCATGCGAAAGAGATCGTCACACTATCGACTTCGGCTAGAAAGAAACCTCTGTTTATTGAGCACTAATTTTCGGTCCGAAAATTGACAACAACCTCTATAATACGGATGACATATAAGTCGATGGCTTCACAAAGAAGGGAAATTGAATATACTGTGCACATCAAAGTATGAGAAACAACTAAACATTGTGTGCGATAGAGTAAGGACTAAGTATTTAGCAAAAACATATCACACGACAGCAAGAAAATTAATTTTATTCTTCTGAGAAACGATTAATCCTAGTGCTACTATCCTCTTTTCATAGCCTTTGTGACCATAAATCGATTTCTCAAAAAGAAAATTTGTTATGACCAGTTGTTTCATCAAGAAAATTCTCATTTTAATAAGAAAAACGCTCTTCGCCGCTATCTAGAAGTTTCACTCATTAATGTTTTTCCTCTATATTCTTTTACATCATGATCCACATATATCCTAAACTCTAGCACACGCGATTAATTCCACTCCATACTATTTATGAAGAACAGCTAATTAATAATAATATATGTCCTCTTAGTTAAATTTACTATTCATCGGGTCAAAAATGATCCAGAGGGGTGGTGCTAAAGTTG